GTATGGTTTAGGTCTCAAGTGTCACCCCCAAGTCACACGGATTTGGGAGGTGACTGGATCATGGGGTTCACAGCTGCATGTCCTTGAGGGGGTGCTGATTGGAAGTGGTCACCGGAGACGTGATTCGGAAGGGTGCCCTCCCATCTCTGGCTCCTCCCTTCTCTCTCTCATTCCCACATGAGCAGCTGCCCTCTGGCAGGCCCCTCCAGCCTGCTGTTTCTGCATCGGTGCCAGGAGGCTTTGGACAGATCCCACTGGAAACAGAGCCAAATAGACGTTGTGGAACTTTTGGCCCAATGACAAGAAAGTGACAATACAAACCACTAGAAAATACACCAATAATGGAACTGGGGAGATAGCTCAGCAGTCCAAGTGCCTGCCTAGAAAGTGCAAGGACCTGAGTTCGATTCCTGGTACTGCATGCCGTGCTGGCCCCAGAACCCCAGATGTGTCATGCCGGCCACCGAAACTGGGATGCCTGGGAGAGGGAAAATCTGTCCTACTATGAGCCAAGATACATTGGATACACTGAGACCGGGTACACTATTTCACTTGGGCTACTTATCCTTCCGATCACCAGTATCTCTGCATTTGAGCTTCAACTGCTTGAAATTTGTCCATAAAATATAGTACCGTTCTCTGTTTTTCCAAAGTATTGATTCCTGTACACATAGCTTCTTAGGTAACATTTTGCATGTTGAGAACATGACAGCTTTGTTGTTTTCTCAATTTTCAAACTGCATGTTTATGAAACATCGATAAACAGTTACTGAACTGACCCTCACCCAGTTTTTGTTTTTGGTTTTTGGTTTTGTTTTGTTTTTTTTGTTTTTTTTTTTCTATTGACTACAGTCTTGCATTGTGAGAAAGTTCATGGTCAAAACTTTTTGTTGCACTGCAAAGAAACCCAAAGCAAGCTAAGTCACAGAAAGATAAAGGAAAGAGGAAAGAATTACTGTTTGCTGTACCGATGTCATCCAGGATTGGCTGGGAAACCTGGCTACGGCAGCTAAACTGAAAACCCATGCGTCACCTATCTTTAGACAGGTCATTCACAAATGGCCAGCAAGACAGCCTCTGTCTGAGAAGAACTGTATTCTTCCGGACTGACACTTGCTGGGCGTGGTGGCTATCTGAGATTTTATTTCTTTTGTTTCTAACGCACGTCTGAGAGAAATATCCAAGAGAGAACCCTGAGTGGGTATGATTGGGTCCTCTGCATCAGCTTAGTGCTGTCATGGCTCCACTTAGGATTGTGTGTTCATTTCTTTGGTGTGAAGTGTCCCGTGTCTTCCAACAACATGGACAAAAAAGCAAAACCTCACATCTTCTTAGAAATTGACTTTTTCTAAGACAGAGCACTATGTTATCCAGTAATTCTACTGGCAGAATATCTCTCTGTGGAAGGCATCCTTGTCCAGTTTTATTGTGTGAGTGGTGTACTGTGTACAATTTAGCAGGGCCGGCCAGTCGGATAGTGATAGAAAGTGAAAGTGCTGCCCTGGATACTGAGCGAGAGCCACTTGCACAGAGTGGTGAGCTCAGCAAGGCAAACAGCAAGGAGTTGAAGACTAGCAAGACTTGGGACTATACAGGAAATTCTGTAACCTGCAACTTTAAATGGTGGTCCATGGAAAAAAATTAGTAAGTTATTCAATACTGACCCAGGAGAAACTTTCTTTTCAAGTCGTGGTCCATGAATCAATCAGAGTGCATCCCATGGGTGCTTCTTAAAGAGTGCAGAGTGTAGTACTCTACCCCAAACTTA